CCAGGTCTATCCAGTCCTGAAGTCTTTGTAGAGGCATGCAGTCCCCCAGTGAGGTTCACTGCCGCTACTCCCAGAGGGATAGCCACATCCAGTTACCCCACCCCATTTGGGGGACCAGCCTAAGTTGAATTGTGGAATCTATTCCAGTGATTGAGAGAATCAAGAAGTCCGTTTCGCATGTTTGCCCCATGGAGGTCAATGCTTTGATTGCCTGGGAGGAAAATGCAGGAATTCCCTCCAAGTTTGCCAAGGCGGGCTCTGTGCTAGGCATTATGGGAGCGACAAGTGACTCAGCCCTGAGTCACCATGGAGCTCACCATCCTCCTCAGCCCTCACAGTCCTCATGTATGAGACATGGCTGAAAGGTGTAGAAAGTCCAAAGCAAACAAGGATTTATTGGCTTACAGAACGACATTGCAGGGCCAGGTCAGCTGCAGGGCTCAATGATGTGTCTCTTCACTTGGCTTTGTGCCCAGTGCGTCACCCTGGGCTCCTGTGGAGTCCGCAGCTCCAGCCTCACAGCCCCCAGGTTCCAGCAGTCAAGCCTCGGGCTCTCCCAGAAGTCCCAGCAGACGGCTGATTGGGTCTTCTGGCTTGAACCGGTGAAGCGCCAGCCCCGAACCAGTCACTGCCCAGCATGTCTGTACTAAGCCTGGAGCAAGGGGAGTTGCCCGTCTGAAGCACATCTCCCCACGAGGAAACCAGAATGTGTTCCATCAGAAGGGGAAATGGAGGCGGGACCAAGACCATGTTTTAAGTAATCTCACAGGGCTCATCTTTTTCTCTGAAACTGCCCTCCCACAGCGAGCTATGAGTGAAGGGGTGGGCTCTGGCCGTATTGTCACATGACCCTAAGCCAGCTACAGCTGATTGGCCAGGGGTGGCCACCTGACTCAGTGACTGGATTCCTGGATTCCAAAGTGGTACCAGTGGTGTGTACAGTGAAGTCCTCACTTAAGGTCGTGGTATGTTCCGTGACTAAGCGAAACGATGTATAATGAAACCAGTTTACCACAGACTGATATAAATGAGTTAAGTTCCTGTTGCGTCTCACCAATGCTTTAAGGGAACAACGTGGAGCAAAGCAGCATTTTCGAGGACCTGCTGCCCTGGCTCGGGGGAGTCGCTTGTGTACACCTACATTCAGTGGGAATTTTGAAATCAGCCACGGTGGGATTGAGGTGGTGGTGTGAATCCCCACAGATTGGGGCTTTCTTTTCCTCAAAGAGCCGGTTGCTGAACACCAGCACAGCACTGGCTGCCTCTCCCATCAGATTCTCCATTCCATGAGTTAGGCACAAGTTAGGGGACGGTGGACAACTGAACAGGCACAGCCTGTGGACTAGGGGTTGGGTGGCTGTGTTGGGCCAGACATAAGCAGAAGGACAGAGGAGACAGAAAGAAGCAGTGATGGCCAGAGGAGACCCAGAGCCAGTGACAACCTCGTTCCCCATTTTCAGTCTCCCCTCTGGCCAAAGTTAACTTCCTGCTTGTTCTCACATCAAAGAATGTAGTTGCTAGTGGTGTAACGCTGGGTAAGTACTTAATCTTTCTGTGCAGATTTTCTCATACTTAAATTGAGGGCTGTAATAGTAACCAATTTATAGGATAGATGTGAGGATTAAATAAATCAATACATGTCTAATGCTTAGAACTGTGCCCCGAACTTAGTAAGTACCCAATAAATGTTAGTTGTTACAATTTGATGTAGCCCTGGTGGATCTGTGTCCCTTCTGACAGTGAACCCGACTGGACAGCTGAAGATGGGAATTTCTGGAGGCAGCATCTGACGGCCCAGCAGGGTGGGGCGGCTGGGACAGGTGAAGACTGCGGTAGCAGTGACACTCAATGGGAGTCTGATTTTCACCTGCTCACCTGGAGGTTCTCAGGAGCTCCCACTGTGCCTGAGGGCCCGAGCACGCTCCTTGAGGCCAGTGTTGATGGCCAGGAAAGTAGCTGCAGAAGGAACTTTAGCCCCTGCTTCAGCCCAGTCCCCTCTACTGTCCCCATCCCCACCTTAGGCCTCTGCATAAGACAAGGAGGGAGCTGTTCCCAAGAAGTTGTCCACTGTCCCATCCTGTAGCTTCCTTGACCCCCCCCCCCCCCCCTCAGGAAGATCTTCACCCACAGCACCTACTGCTGGGCTTGCCTGGGCCCAGCACCTAGAAACCCCTCACTTTGCCATCATTTTCTCTTTAAAATAGAAAATGATGTTCTTTGGTGAATTCTTTGCACTCTGTGAACCTGCTGGAGAAGGGGCAGGCAGAGAGGGAGAAGGCAAGTTATGTTTTCTGGGGCATCACCTGCAGGGAGGGCCACTGGCACCCTCACTTTACATGTGAGAAGACTGAGACTCAGCAAAGGTAAGGAATTTGTCCATAGTCACACACACAGAAGAGCAGTTGATTCCCATCCAGGTCTTACCTGCTCATACTCAGGTCTCTAGTTCCCTAGGATCGTGTATGTGACCCTTAGTGATAAGATAGGGAACCTGGTCCCAGAGGAAGGGATGTACTTGATCATAGTGACCAAACAATCACCTGTTCTTAGGCACACCTAGCTTGTTCTCTAATCTATTGCTAATGTAGTGGCAAAAGGACATCTGTATTTTGCTTATCTAGTTCAGGGAGGAGGCACTAGGGAACTTTGAACTGCTTTTGAGAGGAGAGATAGATCTTGTATTTCACGTGATCAGTAACTGCAACTTGCTTATTAAAGTTACCAGATTATATACACTGGAATTTCTGTCCTATCTGGGAACAGTAGAGGCTGTTAAAACCGCAAGTCTATGAGAACACTACATAAAGGGTTCAGGAGACCTGGAGTGAAAGCCCACCCTTGCAGGGCCTCAGTGTTCCCAACTGTCAGACAATAGCTCAGGGTTACCTTTCCCGTCGCCTTGGCTCTGTGATCATCTTTCCTGGAGGACCTGATGACTTCATGCTCCTATTCAGAGCCTGTGTTTTTCCCTGTTGCAGATGAAGAGTCTGGACAGCAGTCGTGGGTGAGGAAACTTTTCTCCTAGATACTGTGGCCAAACAGACCTACGAGCCCCAGAACAAGGAAATGTAATTTTTGGGAACTTGGACTCTCCAGGAAAAAGGACCATAAAGACAATTTTGGAATAATTTATTTTATCGTAATGTCAGCATAAGAACTCCCAGCATATAGAAGTCTTATGAGAGTTTATTTGAGCCAAATTTTGAGGACATGCCTGGAAGCAAAATCTAAAGGATTGAGAAAATGCTCTGGAGAAAGGCAGTTTTGCAGTTCCTTTTATGCATTTAGAATTAAAGGGGAAAACATAAAGAGGATGCATGCAATCCACCAGTGGTAGAATTAGGGAAGTGAGAGAAAGCAAAGTGGGGAAATCTCTAGGATTGGATAAAAAGCAAAATGGAGGAACAGGTACTCTTACACTGGTGGGTACAGAATAGTTGGTAGTTAACATTTACAGCACACAGAGATGGTAAGCAGCAGAGGAGATAACAATGAGGGGTTCTGGTAGTCTTGTGCTCTTGTGCCCTTGAGGGGTCTAGAAGAGATTATTCTGCCATTTCAAAGGTGTTAGCCTAGATGCATAAGAACAGTGGACAGGGCTCACTTGAGGTAAAGAATGACCTTTGCACCCTGGCCAGTTTGGCTCAGTGGTTAGGAGTTTTGGCCCTCGGACTGAAGGGTCTAAGGTTCCTGGTCAAGAGCATGTAGGTACCTGGGTTACAGGTTCAATCCCTGGCCCTGGTTGGGGTCATGCGGGAGGCAACCAATTGATGTGTCTCTGTCTCTCTCTCTCCCCCTCCTTCCCTACCACTCTATCTAAAAAAAAATCAATGGAAAAATGTCCTCAGGTGAGGATTAACAACAACAACAAAAAGATTGACCTTTGCTAAGGATGCTATAGGCCTGGGACATGACTACCCACCATGGCCTGCCGAGTTAGGGATTTATGATCAGACCATCCTATGTGACTGCTGAGCTTGTCAGGTTTATTTCATAGCCCCTTTTTTGTTCACAGTATTACTTACATATGTACAAACTATGCTTTAGGGTGGGGGAGGTGAAAAGTCAAAGCCAAGGAGCTGGATGCACTGGCATCTAGTCTCCTCATTTAAAAAGGGGGTAGGGTCCGGCCAGGGTTGAGCACTGACCCATGCACCAAGAGGTCGCCGGTTCGATTCCCAGTCAGGACACATGCCCAGGTTGTGGGCCCAATCCCCAGTGGGGGGCTTGCAGGAGGTGGTCAATGTTCTCTCTCATCGATGTTTCTCTCTCTAAAATCAATAAAGGAAAAAAAATTAAAAATAAATAAAAAGGGGGGGTTACTGATGGGGGCTAAAACATCTCAGGTGGCACTGAATTCAGTAAGGTCTATGTGCCTCACTCCCTCTTGAAAGTGAGGAAAAGAGATCTTACAAATGAGAAGCTCCCGACCTAACAGTTTCTTTTCCTTTTTGTAATGCAAGTGCCTGATTTAAGATTTGATTGCCAAGGCATTCACTTCAAAGAGAGCCACCTCCAATACACACTGCCCCCCAGGAGGAAGGAACCAGGTCGCATCCCCCACTGAGGCTCCTTTGTTTCAGAGATCTTGGTTGATTTTTTTCCCCTTCTTCCTATGCTTTAAATTCCTGCTCCTGTATTTTGAACTCGCCGCAGAGTGAGTTCACGAAACCCGTATTCTCTTCAGCATCCTGATGGTTTCGCTCAAGAGCCACGTGCGCGGGTCCAACCACAACACTGTTCATAGTCTGGGACCAGCACAAAACACTCTCAAAGGCCAGGGCGTCCTCCTCCCACCTCCTGTCTGGGCACATGCAGGAGGTGGTAGAGCCGTTTCCGTCCCATCTCGCCCAGTCCTCCAAAGCGCCATGCTACTTCCAGAAGGGCCCACCATGGCTTCAGCGTCTCTCCTCGCCGTCCCGCCCACTCCGCATCCTCCCAGTGCCCAAGGGGTCCCGCAGGCGCGGCTCGGGCTCGGGCTCGGGCTCGGGCTCCGGCTCCTAGCCGCGCACCACGGCGTACTCCTTGGGCGCCCAGAGCAGGCGCGGGTGGCGGATCTCGGCTCGCGGGCCGATTTCCGGGCTCCAGCAGAACTCGGGCGACAGCACCTTGGCGGGCTTGTGCAGCCAGAAGTACTTGTTGAGGTGGCTCTCGTCGTGCCAGCGCGCCTCGAGGCCGCGCAGGCGGTCCTGCTGCTGGCCCCGCGTGCAGTGCGCCGTCAGCCGGCGCAGCGCCTCCACCTTGCCCCCGAACAGGGCCGCGTGGTAGTAGAAGTCGCCCTCGTCCGGCGCCAGTGCGGCGGCCGAGCGCGCGTCGCGCTCATAGGGTAGCAGCCGCCGCGGCCAGTGGTAGTGCCAGGCGTGCATCTGCGCCACCGAGTCGGCCAGCGTCTCGGGCCCGAAGGCGCCGCTGAAGTGCTGGTCCACGTCCATGCAGAACACGAAGTGCGCCTCGCGGCCCAGCCGGCCGGCCAGCGCCGCGTGCAGCGTGCGCATGCGCGCCATCGACACGTCCTGCCAGCGCCGCTCACGGAGCACGCGCTCCACGCGCAGCTGGCGGCCCGGGCCGAGCGGCGGGCGGGGCACGGCGTCCGGGCGCTCGGTGAACACGTAGTAGACCACGCGCTGGCCCACCATGAAGTACTGCTCGGCCGACTCCAGGAAGCGCGCCAGGTACTTCTCCAGGTACCTGTAGGGCGGGGCGGGGCGGGGCGGGGCTCCGAGTCAGTCTGGACGGGGCCTTGGCCGCCCTTCTCGTCGCCTCGCCCCTTCTCTCCCCTCCCCGACTACAGCATCCTGCTCCTCCGCATTCCGGCCCTCCTTATCTTGCAGCCTTAGTCCCTGGAGCTCCTGAACCCTCCAATCCCAAACTCGTGCAAACGGATGAAAGATTATTGCAGTTTGCCACTCCTGTCCTCGAGGGCCCTGCCTGGAACATGGGCTCTCCCTGACTGCTTTGAGTACCAGGGAAGTGGAGCTGTGCTGGCCTTTGACAGGCTGGCAGCGTTAGTTAGCCTTTGCCTCTAGGGCTCTGAGCCTTCGCTTAATAAGTCCCAGAATTTGGATGTTGCAGCGATGTGCAGAAGCCCAAACTAGCCACGCAGAGAGGCTTTGTGGAGAGAGGTGTCCCACCAGTCTTTAGCAGTCAGCTATCCCAGTGGAGACCCAGACATTGGGGAGCAGTGAGGAATGCTTCCTTTGGAGCCCTGTTGGAATTCCTGGACCACAAAATCACGAGCTACTGTTAAATAGTTGTTTTAAGTCCCTGAGTTTGTGGTGATTCCTTACATAGATAACCTGAACGTTTGTAATATTGGAGACTTTGGGATCCCAGGGTTCTGAAATAATAGTAATAATGCCTAATATCTTTGAACATTTATCATGTGGCAAACAGTGTTCCAAGTCAGTGTGTATTGTCGCAGTTAATCCTCACCATTTATTATTATCTCTATTTTTCAGGTGAGGAAACAGAGCCACAAAGAGCTTTAGTAAGGGGTGCGGGCATACACACAGTTGGTAAGTTGTAGAGCTGTGATCTGAACCCAGCTTGACATTGGATCCAAAACTTTTACCTGCACTTGCTTTATTCCTGGTAGATCTATGAGAAATTGGAGTCAGAGACTTGGAATGCTCAGCATCCCAGGGGGTTAGACTTACAAAACCTTGAAATTCAGGGCCCTCCTGCCTGTTTCTCCTTTCTAGAGTGTGGAGGGTCAGAGTTGGAGGAGTTCTGGGGTATCTGATGACCGAATTCCTTCCCCACATGTTCAAAATCTCTTCCTGGATGCAAAATTCTTACTACCTCCCCAAAGCAGTCTGTTCCATTATTACACAATCTTCCTTTAACTGACCTGAACTCTGCCTCTGTGTACCTTACTTAGGGTTACAGGATCTGATTGCCACTCTCAGCTAGGAGTCCCCTTTGCATCTGGAAAGTGGACACCCTGCTTGGACGCGCCTGCCAACCGCAATGTGGATGTCAAGTGCCCCTCGGCTTTCTTCTCCACCTACCACTCTGACTCCTCTCTATCTGGGAGCCACTCATTTCCGCGATTGGATGCCTCTCCTACAGTGATTCATTCTGACCTCTGCCCTCCTCAACCACCTGCCCCATGTCTATTTGGCCTGGTCATCATCAGTCTGACCTACTTTGTGACTGTGTCCCCCCCCCCCCCATCATTATAGCTTCCTGTGATACCCTCCCCCACAGAGTGCTCAGGTTTGGACCCCTTTCTCAGCATCCCCCTCCTCTTCACTTCCCTTTTACCCAGCTCAAAATTCACTCCCTTGCAGAAACCCTCAGCTCCCCAACCCCTTTCCCTCCATCAGGTTTACGTGGTCAGACCCCCACTTCCCCTTATTGTGTGCCTGCATCTGAACATTTATCATGTGGCAAACAGTGTTCCAGGGGGCACTTAACTGCGGCCAGGCCATTTCCTCTCTTCACCTAATTGCTCTCCCCTTGTCTCACCATCCTCACCTGAAAGACGCCATCATTTTCTCAGCACACACCCAATGACTCCAAATGGATCACCAGCCCCTGGGTAGGTTCTTTCTAGGACATGGCTTTGAGCCCCTGGTTGCCTGTGCTGGGTGGGCTGTACAGTGTTGGTGTCCAGGAAGGGGAAGGACGGTCCCGCCCTCACCCTGGGATAGGGGTGCTGTCTTTGCCTTCCGCATCACTTTGGGATCCTTTGGCACAGGGAATAGGGTACCACACTACCTATATCATATGCATACCCTCCCACCCCGATTGGACAGCACTGCTCCCCTCCCCAGGCCTTACCTGCCTACAGCAAAGACAGTCAGCCCAATGGTGAGGTTCTGCTGTTTAGCCTCTTGCTGGGCCACATCTGGATCAAAAGTGCCATCCCAAATAATGGGGGCCCCCCAGGATGTACAGGTCAGGACTTCAGGTCGGGCCCTGGCCAGGGCAGGGATGAGAGATAGGTCCATTCATCAACCCACTTGGCAGTGCTCATTGCCATTACCCCATGCTGGGCTGTAGGGACCCCCAAGTGGGGCATATCCAGTCCCTAGCTCAGAACCAGCACAGGCAGAGGATCTGGAGATGGACCCGCTGAGCCACTGGTGGAGTGCTTGGCTCTGCCAGAGTGGGGGATGTGAAGAGGGCAGGGGCGCTGGAGCACATACTGTGGAGGGTATGGGCCATCTCAGAGTGGGAGGGATGGTATCGCCTTACCAGAGATGCAGATCTGTGAAGTTGTCTCTTAGCAGGGACATTCTGGCCAAAGGGCAGGTGCCCATGGGGATGAAGACTTCCAGGTGCCTGTTGGGCAGAGGCAGCAGTGAGGGGCATGCCAGCCTCTCAGGAGCCCTGTCGCTCTGCTCCTTACAAGGAAGGACAGCCCACAGGACAATTGTGTGGGCTGGGATAGTCACCACCCTCCATCCCTCAAGTAGACACTTGGAAAGATCCACTTGAATCTTGCCCCCGTGGGCCCCACCTGGAGTGCTGGGGAGAGGCCGTTGTACCTGACTGTAGGGACCCCATATAGGAGCAGCCCTGAGAAGCCAACTGTAAGCAGGATCAGCCACCAGAAGATTCTCTTCCAGGCCCTGAGGGATGGGGAGGGGCATCAGCAACATCCTATTTATATTTGTTTATGTTTATATTTATATTATATTTATACACAGATATCTATACACACGTGAGAAATCATTTGTGCAATTTAATATTTCATTTGTTTTTTTAAAATACAAATATATTATCTTCACATGGTACATTCAAAGACACAAGAATATATACAGTGCAAGGTCTTTCCTGTTTGCAGACACCCAAGTCCTCTGCATGGAAGCAGCTGGTGTCACCAGTGTCCTGTGTATCCTGCCAGAGTCTATGTACAGACAGGCAGTATGGTAAATATAGTACAAATTCTCCCTTCTACCCTATGTCCCTCCCCCTTTCTTGTTCTTTTTTTAACCTTGTAATTTTTTTTTTTTTTTTATCCTCACCCGAGGACATTTTTCCATTTTTTGTACAGATAGAGTGGGAGGGAGAGAGAGGAAGAGAGAGAGAGAGGGAAACATCGATGTGAAAGGGACACATCGAGTGGTTGCCCCCGCACGACCAACCAGGGCCAGGGACAAACTGCAACCGAGGTACATGCCCTTAGTGGGAACCGAACCCGGGTCTCTCCGGACTGCAGGCCAACGCTCTAACCGCTGAGCCAAACCGGCCAGGGCTAACCTTATAATGGTTTTTATCTCCCCCCCTCATTGTCCCCAAAGATGGTAGCACAGTAGGTAGGTCATTCTGCACCTTGCACTGACCGTTATATCTTGGAGGGTATTTCATCCATCTCAGTACTTACCATGATTTCTTACCCTTTTTTCCATTGATTGGCAATAGCATGATTTACCTGACAGGTTCTTTCTGATGAGCATTTAGATGTATATATCTCCTTTGCTTTTCCCAGCAGTGCTGGGGGGCATGGCCTTGGGCAGGTTTGGGGACTGCTGACATTAGGTGTGAGGTGCTTAGTCTGGGAAGTGGCTGGGACTGATCTTGGATGGGAGGAAGTCTGGGAAGGGAGACAGAAGTTTGTGGCTTGGTGGCTGGAGGTGAGAGCTGTCTGGGACTTAGGGGTGAGTTGCCGAGCTGCATGGAGGGCAGCTGTGGTCAGAGACCTTGTGTCTGTTGTGGCTCCAGTCACTGGGCTGGACTCCACCAGCAGAGCCCAGCAGCCCAGTTCTGGCTCAGAGGAGGTGAGCTCTGGGATTTGTCCATGGATGGTTGTTTTCCAGGAAGGGCGCCAAAAGTTGAGAATCTTATTAAGCTCCTGGGGGTCTCATCTGGCTCTCCACATCCCTGCGCTGTGCCCCTGTCTCTGGAGAGGCTGGACCCATGTGGTGAGGAGCACAGACACCGGGGCCAGCTCCCTATCAGCCGTCTGAGCACGGGCTAGGCTTTGGACGACTGTACTTTATAGCTTCCTCATCTATAAAATGCGGATGATGAGCATACCTACCTCAGAGGGCTCTCATGGTTATAAGTGATGAGAACACGGCCTCACACATCGTAGTAGTTCAATAAGCTTTGGCTATTATGATTATTCCTGAACAGAGATACTACTGCTATTATTCCCCTCTGCCCTTCCTGCTCCTCCAGCCCCCACAGTGGCCCTGCCTGCTCGTCCCTCACCAGGACCGTCCAGCAGCACCCTCTGTGCTTCCAGCTGTCCCTGCACAGTCCCATTACACCTCATTCAACGCCAACCTGCCTTACCAGTTTCCACATCACGTGACCAGGTAAATCCTCAAAGAAGAAATGCATTTAGTAGTCAAACCTGGAAGAATATTCACCCTCACTAGTAATCAAAGACATACAAATTAGAATAAGGTGGTTCGTTTTGCCTATAAAATGAGCACATTTTAAAAAGAAATAAAACTAGCCACGCAGCAAGAAGACAGTGAGGTAGGCACCCTTGCACTTGCTGGTGGGAGTGTAGAATGACGCAGCTCTGTGGGAAAACTACTTAGCTATGGGAACTGACGCTTTCAGTCTTCATCCCCTTTAATCCAATAACCTCAGCTTCTGGGAATCTGTTCAAAGGAGATAATCTTCAGTGTGAAGTAAGTTTATGCATCAAGACGTTCACTAGTTTCTGTTCATTCATGCATTCAACCTGTATTTATGGGGCACAGGCTCAGAATCAAGCACTGTGCTAGGTCAAGGTTTCAGAGGGGAGCAAGACATGGACCTGTCCTCAGGGAGTGGAGTCAGGAAGATGTGGTGGCCTGGGGAGAGGGAACGGGTCAGCCGACAGCAACAAACAATGAATGGAACACAGCACAGTGAAGGCTGTGATCAGTATAAGTAGAAGATGCTATGGGGGCAGCCCTGGCCGGTTTGGGTCAGCAGTTAGAGTATCCGCCCAAAGACCAAAGAGTTGTGGGTTCGATTTCGGTCAAGGTACACGTACCTTGGTTGCGGTTCATTCCCCGGCCCTGGTCAGGATTGTGCGGGAGACAACCAATTGATGTGCCTCTTTCACATCAATATTTCACTCTCTCTCTCTCCCTTCTTCCCACACTATCTGAAAATCAATGGAAAAATAACTTTGGGTGAGGATTATTTAAAAAAAAAAAAGTTCTGAGGGCAAACTGGAGAATGGTACCCGAGCCTCGAGAGGTGGGGCGTGAGGGGCGCTTTCTGGAGGAGGCGACCTCTGAGCTAGGACCTGAGGAAGTAGCAGGGATCCCAGCAAAGGGAGTGGAGGGCAAGGGAGGCCAGGAAAGGAAACAACAATGTGCAAAAGTGACCCAGTGTCTTTCTTAAGATACCACACCTACCTGGAAGTCGGGTAGGGGCCGAATCATGGCCAGAGCCTCTGGTAGACTGATCTGGGCATCTTTGGTACAGTGACAGAGGACACCTGGGGGCATTAGTGCCACCTGATCTGTCCGCTTGGATATCTCACAAACATCTCAAACTTACACGGCCAGAAAGGGACTCTCGATTTTCCTCAGAAACCTGCTCCCCACTCAAGTCTCCTGCGTCCTGGGAAATAACAGTGCGACGATATGCCCCGTTTCTCAAACTGAGGCCGAGGAGCCCTCCTCGAGTGCCACCATCTCGCCTGCCCCACGGGCAGTCTACCAGCAAGCCCTGTGGACTCCCACAGACACGCCGCCCTCCACCCGCCTGCCTGCCTGGCTGGCTGACTTCATAGCGCCCTTTCCACCCTCCCTGCTTCTTCTCTTACCGCCCAGCAGTCCATCCTCCAGAAGGAACTTGCAGAAACATTAACACACATCTCTCCCCCTTTCCAGACTTTCCAACAACTTCTTACTGCTCTTAGAACAAAACCCACCCGGGGTCCGGCTGCTGGGATCTCTTGTGCTCCGCTCCTGTGCCCCTGCCCCTCAGCCTTCGTCACCTTTGCCCTTCTTGTCATTTGGAACCCAGTTAGGATCCCCTGTGTGCCCTCTTTCACCCCTTGGCTTCTCTCTGCCAGTGATTCTGAAGTGTGTCCAGCCCAGCCCCTCACGAGCACTGGACTCAGGCGTGTCTCTGGCTGCTGTGTCTGCCTGGGTGTCCCACAGCACCTCAAACTCAGGGCTCCTCAAGCTGCATTTTTGCATTTCCCTTGATCTCTTCTTCCTTCTGTGTTCTCCATGACTGGTCGCAGTTGCCCAAGTGGGACCCCTTCTAGCCATTTAGTCACCATGTTCCATTGCATTTGCCTCCCCATAGAGCCCTGAGCTGCCTCCTTTCCACCCCACTGAACTCTTCACACCTTATTGTCTCTCATCCAGCCAAATCCCTGCAACTGTTTCCTCTCTTGCACCCCCACCCTGTCTCCATCCTGTGAAGTTTTGCCGTGACTCCCACCTCCACACCTCTGCCCAGATTGCTCTTTTCCTGCCAACCACCAAGCTCCCGATCATTCCTCAACACCCAGCTTCCTCCTTGAACCTTCCCCTCCAACACCCAGTCCCCCAAGAGCTCCTCCGGTGCAAACCTTTACTCTAGCACCTGCCAGACTAGATTGTCACTGTCCGCCCCATAGGCCAAGCATTTCCTTGTTGTGTTAGACTTTGGCTTCTCAGTGCCAAATCTGAGAGCCTGCTTCCTAGTTGGCAGTATTAAAAGTTATGTGTTCAGTAAATGAATGAGATCACCAATGGGTTCTTTATCTTCATTCTCTTTCCTAAACTGACAGTTACTCCTTTGCTTAAAGCTCCATTTTCTTTAGGATCAGCTCCACACTCTTTATGAATAATTCTAGAAATGTACCAAGGCAGGCAGGCAGGCAGGCACCTTGCTGAATTTTATGTCCCTCTCTCATGGAAGTCTGATCACGATCCCCTGAAGATGCTGTGATTCCCTCCACCTATAAATGAGGGAACTGTGGCTCAGGAAGGTTACATAACTTGCTCAGGCTCACACAGCTGGTAAGTGTTGGAGCTGAGGTTTGAACTTAGGTCTGTCTGACTCCCAGGCCAGACCGTGGCATTTGGGGCTTTTTATGACCTGGCCCCAGCTCTACTCTGAGGCTTGTCTTCCAAGGGTCCTTGTTATCATTCCCCACAGGCTTCTCCCAAGGCTCCTCCGTTCTCTGCAAGTCAGTGTCTCTCCTGCAAGAAGCCTTTCTCTCTCCTCCCTCTCCAGCTCCATGCCGAGCCGGGAGGGCTGCCTTCCGGCTCTAGAAGCGCAGCTGCCCAGGTACACAACGGGTGGTACCCTGTGAGGCAGGGCCGGAAATGGCGGGAGGGGGCCTCTCTCTGCTCTCACTGCTGTCCCGACCCTGAGCCAGCCCCTCCCAACCAGGGTAGGGCAAGCTGATGCTTTTCTTGGGCACTCGGCCTCAGCTCGGGCAGCCATGCAGACCTGGCCCCAAGTGGGCGCTGTCAGGTCTGGAGGGTGCTGAGACCCAGGTCTGCGGTAGGCACCTGCCAGCTCCTGCCACCCTTCCCATGCCCCAGCCTGGGAGCTGGGAGCCCTTAATCTGTAAGGCCACTGTCTGACCCATTCCTCCGCATTCCTTTCTCAGGTATTTTCAAAAGGACTCCCTCCACCCCATTTCCACCTGCAGAAGGTGGTCCCTCAAGCCCACCCCATGCCCTGTTCCCTGTACCCTTCTTCCTTTCACGAAGAGGTGAAAGATCAGTCATTCGTTCTTGAGTGGGAGCAAGCTTCCAATCCTGGGAGTCACTCCCAAGGAAATAGAGAGCTCTGTGACAGCAGTGGGCAGCTCTAGGCCTCTGTCCCTCTGTCCCGCAAGGGCTCCGAGTTCCGGGAAGCAAGAGGGTTTGCCCAGCTCCTCCCAGGCTCCAGGGTCTCCCAGATCCCCTGCTGCCTCTACCTCCTGGGCCATGTTCCTTCTTAGAGTCACCTTCTTCCAGGACAGCCTTGGCGCCTCCTTGGCTGTTCTAGACTCCTCGGGCCAGCTGCCCCAGCTCCCCGTGCACACTGGCAGTGCCCCACTCACCTGAGTCCCTCTTTGACAGCCATGGCGAGAAGCTGGGGGACAGCCTCCCAGGCACTCTCTCAGCTCAGAGTCGGGAAGCAAATGACCTGTTCTTGGTGACTGGAACAAAGCAGTTACAGGCCATCTGGGACCACACCCACAGGAGCAAGCAGGGATGAACTGCCTGGAGTGGGCCTTGATTAGGAGCGGCACCTGCTGGAGGAAGCCTGCCCCAGGGTGGGGTGGGGCGAGGAACCCCCTTGGGGCCGACCTTCTGGAGAAGAGTGGACCTGAGTAAGGCCAGCTCTGATTGGCCAGAAGCTCTGAGCTGTTTTGTAGTGACTCCTCGTTCCTCTCCAGAGCTCCTTGTACCTCTCCCAGTGCCTTCTGCTCTGGTCAGGGAAAGGCCCACAGGGCCCGGCTATCCAGGGGAACCCTGTTCTGCACAGAGCTTCGGCCAGAGGCCCAGGGCACTGGTCTCCTGATTGTGATCTTGGACAATTGGCCCCAAAGAGGCCTTTACCTTTTCAGGGAAGTGGGGACTAGTCACCCAGGACAGTGTAAGAGCCACACGAGATGGTGGGTATGGGAGTTCTGGAAAGCTTACCCTGGGCTGGGCTTTGAAATGCAGGCTGTGATCCATCCCAGGGGATGAAATCAGTTTCATGGATCATGACCCAGATGTTAAAAGTGTGAACAAGAAGAGAATGGAGAAGGCGATGCCAGAATGCATTATACATAAAGGTAGGAATTGTTTTGTGAAATTTTTGTTTTAATTATATCTATTTAAGTATGTATACAAGGGCTGGAAACATTTTTTAAACTGTGGATCATAAAAGGCTTGAAAAATTCTGTGTAAATTGTAAACAGTAACAAAACTATATTTAAGGATGCACCCTTCAAATTTATGATAGATTGGAGCCTGCCACCCAAAGTAAACAAAATGGTGCCAGTATTTTCCTGTTGAAGTCAGTTCTCTCGAATTCACCATGCCCCTTCTGGGAGGTTGGGTTTCCTCCCTTTCCATCTGTAAATAAAAAGCAGCTCAGATAGGGCCCGGCTTTCAGTCTTCCAGGAAGGGGGATGTCCAGAGTGCAGACTTGCCCGGGCTTCCCAGGCCACAGCGCCCGGCCCACACGGCTGGCAGCGGAGGGGCAGGGCAGAGGACCTTCCCCGGGTGTCCGCTCCCCTGGGTGCCCTCCCACAGTCCCCTCAGCTCAGGGGCTAGGCTGGCTCCCTGTCCTGCTAGCCGTTCCGTCTCCTGAAACAACCAGACTTTCCAGTCCCGGCTCCGCCCTCTGGCTGTCAGGGCAGCCGCACCACAAGAGAGCAAACCGCAGTAAAGCCAGTCACTTGACTTGGCTTCCCAGTACATAGAAGAGTCATGTTTACACAATACTGTAGTCTTTTAAGTACGCAATAACATTGTGTCTAAAATAATGTACATACCTTAGTTTAAAAGTACTTTATTGCTAAAAATGCTATCACCTGAGCCTTCAGCAAGTGGAATTTTTGCCGGTGGAGGTCCTGCCTTTGTGTTGAAGGCTACTGACTGATCAGGGTGTTTGTTGCTGAAGGTCGGAGTAACAATTTTTTAAAACAACAATGAAGTTTGCTGCATGAACTGACTCTTCCTTTAATGACCAATTTCTCTGTGGCATATGTTGCTGTTCGGTAGCATTTTACCCACAGGAGAATGTCTTTCAAAATGGGAAATCTCAAATCCTCTCAAACCCTGCTGCTTTGTCAGCTCAGTTTATGTAATAGTCTAAGTCCTTTGTTGTCATGCCATCAATTTCCACAGCATCTTCCACAGACACACGAAGTGAGCAAATGCTGTTGGAAAAACGCTCAAGGCACGGTTGCCACAAACCTTTCATTTGTAAAAAGAAGAAAAAAGAAAAGCTGTATTTGTGAACTGCAATAAAGCGCAAAAACATGATGTGTGCCTGTACTCAGTTTTTCTCTTCCTCTTCCAGGTAGTACATATATATTTTTAAATTAATTTGAAAGAGAAAGAAACATCGATTTGCTGTCCCACTCACCTATACATACTCATTGGTTGATTCTTGTATGTACCCTGACCGGGAATCAAATCCACAACCTTGGTGTATTGGGACAATGCTCTAACCAACTGAGCTACCCGGCCACGGCAGTAGTTTATATGTATTTTTAATTTTTTTTTCCTTTATTGATTTTAGAGAGAGAAGTGAAAAGGAGAGAGAAACATCGATGAGACAGAACATCGATTGACCACCTCCCGCATGCCCCCCACTGGGGATCGGGCCCACAATCTGGGCATGTGTCCTGGCCGGGAATTGAACCGGTGACCATTTGATGCATGGGTCAATGGTCAACCACTGAGCCACACCGGCTGAACAGTAGTTATATTTTAACAGGCTTTCCAGAGAGGTGTTATCAAGATGTGGGTGTGGTATTGACTCTTTATGTGGGCTTGGTCTTCCAGGCTCCACCCTTAGATTCTCTGATTCAGTAGGCTGGGGCCTGGGCCTCACCTGAAGGAAAACCTAGATAAGCGTGAGGAGCAGGAGCCCACGCTGCCCTCCTCTTCCCTTCCCTGCAGGGAGATTTTTAAGCTTCAAGCAAGCAGGGCACAGTGGTGTGGTGTTCACCGCCGAGGCCTCGTTTCCAGTCCAAGGCCTGGTTCACCGGCACAGGTTAGCCGCACAGCCGTCCACCCGCCCACACCCTGCTGGTCTGCACTCCCTGCTCATGCCTTTGGGTGAGCTGCCTGGGTCTGGAATGCCCTTTATTCTCATCCAAGACTTGGCTGTTACCTCCTGGGGGACAGTGACTTTCTAATAATTTGCTATTCCAGCATCCAAAAAATGCTCAGAAAGTGCTGAGTGAACCGAAGACAATCCTAGGGCTATTTTGGACACTCATTGGGACACACAGGGAAAATCAAAGATGTTTGCTAGCGGGTGCGAGTCGAGTCCTGCTTCAGGTGTTCTAGATAGTCCTGGCCCGGGGTTCTCGTCTCCCCAGTGGCAGTGGTGGGTGGGGGCTGACAGCTCAAGGGGCTCAGGGACCCCCGTGTGAAGAGCTCTCCTGTGAGAAGGGAGTGAGGGTGCCCTCAATGACTCAGCCCCAGCAAAGTGCGGAGGAGACGCTGTCCCAGCCCGGGGGCCCGCCCCTCTCCTTATGGATGGAAGGAGCCACTCAGGACCTGTAGCTGCGGAGACAGGCAGCCCCAGGAAAGAAAGGCACAGCAGAAACAGATTTTACAGATTTATTTTTAAAAAACAAAAACAAAAGGTTAAAAAAGTCCTTCATTTCCAACCCTGCCTGGGGTGAGAGTGGGGAATAGAACAAGCTGAGAAAGGTGGCCACCCTCTTCCGGGGAGAGGCCCACTCTCTCTCCCGGAGCCGGGAGAGGACAGGGCCGGTCAGAGGCAGGCCCTCCCCTTCGCCCTGCCTCCTCCGCAGCCGCTCGGGCTGCCGCGACCAGTTCCAGAGGCAGAGGGAGTGGGAGGCCAGGGGCTGCCTTCTTCACGTCAGTGGTCACTCCAGCTCCTCTCTCCCCTCAGCGTTGTCTGGGCCTCACCACGGGGGCTCCCAGGGCAGGGGGGCACCAGAACCATGTGACCCAGCCCACCAGCAGCTTCCTTAATGTTTGTGACACAGCAGGGCAGTCAGGGGGACTTCACAGTGTGGGGAAGGGGCTTTAGAGACATCGTGACCAGTCTGGAGAGGACATCTGACCTTCACTGCTCCCTGATCTTGCCTCTGCACTGGGGCTGCCCCTCTTTCTACTCCCCATCCTGAGGCTGAGTGGAGTCCAGGACAAAGCACTAAGTGGCTGTTCGCTACAAAACACCTGGAGACGCCAGAGGGTGGCTCTGGGCCTATCTGTCAGTCCAGGCTCCACACACACAGTCACACACACAGCGTTTAAGGCGTCTGTGCCAGCAGGCATGGCCAAACTGGGCCCAGCTTCTCTCTCTCCACCTGCACAGGGTGAAGGGGGAAAACACCTGGCTGCTTCTGGAACAAGCTGAAGGGGGAGAAGCTGGCATCAGGAGAGTTAGCCAGGCCTGGAGAAAGAAGTGGGAGGAAGGCAGGCAAGGGCTTTCAAGGCCTTCATCCAGGCCTGGCGGCTGCCCTTGGAAGTAAGTAACCCAACTCAGGTTGGGGAGCCCTGACCATATACCCCCTGGAAAATGGGGGTCCGAGAGAGGGGAAGAGAGCGGGGCTAGAGTATTGGGACTTTGGAGGAAGCCAGTGCTATCAATATTTACAAGCATAAAGCCCCATCTTCTGCGCCACCTACCTCTCTGCCCCTCCCACAGAAAGAAAGGCCCCTGAGAGCCACTGGGAGGTGCTGTGTAACACCTCCCCATCAGCCACGCCCCATAGGGACAGCCCCTACCCTCGGACTGGCCCCAGTTCTGGGCCCCTCAGGAATGTCTGTCTGGCTCTGCTCAGCTGGGAGGAGGCGTCCTGGGCCAGAACCGTGGCTGCCCGGCCAGCCCTAGGAGTCCTTGAGCATGCTGATGCGAGCATAGATCTTCAGGGCAGGCCCCAGTTTGATGTTCATAGCACTCATCAGGTGGTCCTCCTTGAGCAGCAGCAGGGCCTGCCCATCGATTTCCTGGGCACGGAATTCCTCTGCTATCTCCTGGCATCCTGATGGGGACATCACCACAGATTGTCAATCAGAGCTACCGGTGTTCGTTCTTGGCAGTCACACTGCACTATACACATCATTTTATTTAATCCTCACAACCACACGTGAAGGAAGATGCTGCTGTCCTTATTTTATAGCTTGAAATGCTAAGTGACTTGCCCAAGGTACTGGATTCTGGGATGGTCCCCAGAGATCTGTGCCTCCTTATTCACACACGTGGTTGTTCAGGGCCTCTCCCCTCAGTGAGCTGGCTGACCAGTAAGGTGTGCGCAAGTGATGGCACGTGATTTCTGAGGCCAGACATAAAGGGCACAGCAGCTTCCACCGTGCTCTTCGGATCATTTATTTTGGACTAAGCTAGCTACCATGTGAGGACACTCCAACAGCCCTCTGGGGAGGCCCATGTGGAGAGGAACCGAGGCCTCTTGCCCAGAGCCAGCGTCCCATGCCATGTGAGTGAGGCACTGAGAGTGAATTCTCCAGCTCCAAACCTCACACAACTGCAGCCACTCCGGCTGACATCTCACCGCGACGTCATGAGAGCCCATCCAGAACTGCCCAGCTAAGCCGCTCCATGTTCCTGACCCACAGAAACCTTGAGATAATTACTGTTCTAGGTCGCCAAGTTTTGGGGTAGTCTGTTTCACAATAAAGATAACTAATGCAAGTTTGGGTACTTAGAAGAGAGCTGCAGCTGCAACAAAACCCTAAGCCTGTGGGCGTGGCCTTAGGAGCGCCAGGGCTGGAGCTGGAAGACTGAGGAGAGTGTTGGTGAATGGCGGAGGTGCTTTCACAACACTAGAAATCTGATGGCCTTTGACAAAACCCTGGAGGCTTAAAGGAAAGTGAGGAAACTTGCTGGAAACTGGAAGAAACGGATTCTTATCATGAAATAGAAAAGTCAGCCACCTGTTGCTGGAGGTAACAGGTAAGATTAATTACCGAATGAACTGAGTGTCTAGCTAACATTTTTGGGCAGAATGTTGAAGGTGTTGCCTGGCTTCTCATTGCTGCTTACAACGTAAGGAGAGGAGAGTGGTATGGTAAAGGACAACTGTTAAACATGAAGGAGCCAGGATTTGCTGGTTTTGAACATCCCTAGCCTCTCCAGATGGCAGATGATGCTAAAATTAAGAAACGGTTTCTAGGCAAAGATCAAATACAGGCATGGTCAAGAAAACATGGTCTACAGATGAAAATGAGGGTGCGACTTTAATTTTTTGTTAAGACCTTACGGAGAGCTAAGGTGCTGCCTCTGAGAACTGTTCAATCAAAAGGATTCTAAGGGAGTACCTCTCAGACCCTCTGTATTCAAGGCAGGGCTTCTACAATGACTGAGGGCTCTATCCCTCAGCTTCAGAAGAAGCCAATGTTGAGAAAGGTTCATCTTGAAGACGTGTGTGTGTATGTTTTTTGTCTTATGAAGTGAGCCCCTAAAAAGATTCACGTGAAGCCCACAAAGATCTCAAGAGAACTGTACTGGCAGAAGTGCTGCTGTTCGAACTGAAAGGGTCAAAGCACCACCACCTGAAAGCCGCAGGAAGCAGGCCGAGAACCGCTCACTGGACCCAGGCTGGCTCCCCAGGAGAGGAGGGTGGTTCCAGAGCGGAACCAGAGCTGATGAGAACCACTCCCAGGCTGCGAGTCCTAACCAAGGAAATGCCAACATGTGCCTGCTGGCTTGTAGAGCTGGTGTGGCTCAGTGACTGCCGCACCGTTTTCCCTGTGGAAGGGGCATGTCCAGGTGCTGTCCTATACCTATCCCACCCACACATCTTTGATTCGTGGAGGAAAATGGCTAACATGTAACCCTCCAGTTCTCAGGTCTTCAAATTGAGAGGAATCGTTATTTATATGAGGAGCTGGACCCAAGGAGACTCATTTGTGCCTGGACCTGAGTTAGATGACGAGATCCTGGATTTCAAACTGTTGCTCTAACGGGATGAGACTCAAGAGGACATCAGTAGGGGCTGAGAATGTTTCCGCATGAGGGAGGAACATGCATCACTGGGGAACTCTGTAAGCAGCCTCCAAACAGCTCCCAACAATTGCTTCTTCCCTTTCATGTTCTCTTGAATTCCCTCACAAAATGAGGAGGGTGGACCTGGGCGACTAGTGAGATACTGTGAAAGTGACAGTACGTATGTGATTCTGAGCCTAGATCATAAAGGCACAGTGGCTTCCACCCTGCTCTCCTGGATCGACACCTGTGGCCAATACGGATGCCACATCATGAGAAGACTCAAGCACGAATGCTCTGAAGAGTCCATGTGGAGAACCGGGCCTCTTGCCAACAGCCATACCCTCGTTGAGAATCATGTGGAAGAGGGTCCTACGGCCCCAGTCAAACCTTTAGATGCCCTTAGCCTTGACTAACATCTTAATCAGAATCTTATAAGGGACCCTGTGGCAGAACTGCCATGGTAACTGTGCTACAAATTCTGGGGATGCAGCAATAGATAATACACGGGATTGACTGGCAGGGCCAGGATTTTAGCCAAGTTGTGTCTGACTCAGAAGTCTGTGTTCCTAACCACTGTACTCCACTCCAGTCTCCAAGAAACAGGCTTGTGGTTGCCGTCAGTACCGACCTGGTCAGTGGCCACATGAGACTGGCAGAAAAACAGCAGAGAAGCTTTGGAGTCCCACCCAAAGCATCTGTGAATGATGTGAGGTTTGTCTTTCAAGGTTCATGGCTGGACTCAACCCTGGAAACCACTTGTGCTCCACCAGAGGGGCATGTGGGTCCCCGCTACGCCGCCATGTCCTGCACTTCCATGGCTTCATGCCTCAAGCTGCTCCCTGATGTGGTCCTTTCACCTGGCAAGGGCCTACTGTCCATCGTCATTCATAGTTTACATGTCTTCACTGTTGATGTCTCTGAAAGACTTCTCCACTCCCACTGACTCCCCCCGCCAACCTGCTATAGGAGACACAGGGTTCATTATCACCTCTGCATCTCACACACGCTTAGCATGCCAGTCTATGCAGAATTATAGCTCTGAAATATTATTTACAGTTTGGTGCTAGAATGTAAGCTCTGACAGGCAGAAACCTCGTTGTATTCATCTTTGCACTCTAGTTCCTGAACCTGAGTCATTAAGTGAACTGCCTAATGTTTCCTGGTGGTGGGAGGTGGGTCTCTCACCCCCTACTCCCTGCTATCCCAGGCAGGCAGGGAGCTTCCAAGGCCTTACCTGGCAGAGAGCGGATGAATTCGTAGACATCTTCTACATTCCACTTGGTGGGCTCACTTGGCAGGAAGTGGTGTCCCATGCCTACCAGGTCCCGCATGTGCATGTCAGGGAGCTCCAGGTCCCGCTGGCCTTGTCGCCGGCGGGAGGTAGATGAGCTGGCTGAGATGGGTGACAGGGGTTCCTCATAGCTTGAGTTATCTGAGCAACGGCTGGAGTCCTCCTGGCTGTGTGTTAGCTGCAATGCAGCAGTGACTGAAAGGGGTACAGTGCCTGTTGGCTGGGAGCAGAGAGAGTTGTCTTCAGAATGGGGGAATAAGCCATCTCTAGCAATGGGCAAAGGCACTTATATTTTCCCTGTTCTACTTGGTCTACTACTGCCTATCTCTGAATTCCAAAAAAGCATGTTCTGTGCTGTCCTCTCTCTGACCCGAAGAGTAAGTCCCTCCCAGTACCGGAGCATGTACCACACCTCAGGTCGATCACCTGACTATATGCTATGCTCCTTCTACATGTGGAGTTTTAAACCAGGGCTCTATGGGCTTTAGGGGGAGGTCAATGAACCACCACCAACAGCATGTGAAATTTCTCATGTATGTACATTTGGATATAGCTCTCATCAGATTCTTAAGGAGGTTTATGACCAAATAATAACAAGCAGCAGCAAAACACCCTAGGCCGTGAGTTCCTCTAGGGCAACTTACAGCCTCGGTGCCTGACCGAGCTCCTGGCACACAGCGGTACTAAAAAACATTTAATGTTCCTGCTGGAGACCTGCAAGAACTCAGTGCTCTCCAGTGCACGGAGGCAACACAGTGGAAAAGGTCAAGGGTGCATCACCCAGCCCTCTGTGTGAGAGGGGGTGACGGGAATAGCCAGGTAGGGCAGACCTCAGTTCCATGGGTGCAGATGTCATGGAGGGAGGCAAACAGCATGGGAGGGGTGATGTCAAGGCAAGGTCACTGAAAAGGGAGTCACCTCATAAACATCCACGGTCTGAATGAAGGGGCGTGGGGAAGGCTTGATCTGCCAGATTATGAGAAATGGGAACCTGACAGAACATGCTGACAGCGGCTGCGGAAAGGGAGTGTCCTGGGTCATGGTGAAAAGGGGAGTTGTAGTTGGTGGGGACTCGTGAGGATGAGCTTCGGGCTCTGCCAGCCCTCTCACCTGCTTCTTGGTATCCTTGGTGAGAGGTGGCAGACTGGCTTTGCTGGCCCGACGGCGATTGTGGGTCGTGGCTCCTGCCTTCTGCAGCTTGCTCCGGTCCGAGTGGAAAAGGCCCACTCGTTTGGTGCATCCCACATTGTACCTGCCAGAGTCAGGGGACACAGGAAGTCGAAGCAGTCGTAGGGTGTAAGGGCCTTGGGCAGAACAAGGGCAGCTGAGCTCTCTGGCAAAACCTGAGTCCGTCTGTTCATTCTCATCCTAAACCCCTCACTTGACACAACAACTAGGACCACAGTGAGAACTCTGCAGACCCATTCTACTATGAACATGACCTGGCTCAGACACTACTGCCACGGCCCTGCTGAAGGGTAGCGTGGCAAAGCTTCACAAAGGCGCCCTGATTAGCTCCAGACCCTGAGGGCTGAACACAGCCTTATTCTAGCCGCTGCACAGAGGAGTGCCTGGGGCCTAAAGATTTCTTCTCTTTGGGGGGCCCAGAGCTTCAAGGCCAGCCGCTTCGTTCCCCGCCCCCACCTTGGTACAAAGACCACATAGGGCTTCAGAGTCAGGCGAGTCTAAAGCCCCAGCTCTAAGACTTCAGGCACAATTACTTATCCTCATGTGTATAAAGAAGACAATGGCAACACCTGCTTCAGAGTTATTCTGAAGATCAGATGACAGTGCGTACGACTGCCTCATACACGCAGGCTCTCAATGAACAGCGCTGGGTGTCGCTGTGACCGTCAGCCTTCCCAGCTGGTGAGAGCTCATGCAGGAACCACTGTCATGAAGCAGTGCTCTGGGCAAGCTCCCTGGGGAGGGCGTACCCTAGGAGATGGGCAGGAAGAGAGGCTGGGTGCCAGTGGGACCCAGCAGGGCAGCCAAGCTGGAGCCCTGCTTCCTTTCCTGGACTCTGTGCTGTCTCTGATCTGCTCGTGGGAATTCTTTGGTGCATTAGTGACATGACGCTGCTTCCCGGCAGGTCAAGGAATAGGGAGTTGGATAAATCACCCCAGGCCTCTTGGGGTGGACTCTAGCTGAAAGGAGATGGGACACAGGAGCGGGACACAGGAGCAGGACACAAAGGTGCAATCCTGAGGAAAGGGACGGCTGGGCAAAGCAGGGGTGGGGGCTGAGGCCACTCACCTTTTTGCACAAGCCATGGAACAGAAGCGCTTGGAACGCTTGAACTTGTAGGCAAAGTCCACCCGGCCACAGAGCTCACACTTGAGTTTGAGGGGCGTACCCTCCTCTTTGGATTCTGAAACGTATGAAAATTTGCGAGTATGAAGAATGAGCAATTCCACATGCTGTCGGCAGCCCATCACAGGAGCCTACCTACTCTGTTCTGCCTCCTCCTCATGTTCCCACAGCTCTGACACACAGCAGCCCTCTAGCTTGGAAAATGCCAAGCCTCTTTCACCACTGTTTTTGGAAGGCTGTTTCCCTCCCTAAAAAGTACTCAAAGGCTTGCCCTGGCCAGTTTTGCTCAGCAGTTAGAGCGTCGGCCTGCGGTCCAGAGAGACCTGGGTTCGGTTCCCACTAAGGGCACGTATCTCGGTTGCAGTTTGTTCCCAGCCCTGGTTGGGTCGTGCAGGTGGCAACCACTCGATGTGTCCCTTTCACGTCGATGTTTCTCTCTCTCTCTCCCTCCCTCCCTCCCACTCTATCTGAACAAAAAATGGAAAAATGTCCTCGGGTGAGGATAAAAAAAGAAGAAAAAAAAAAGTACTCGAAGGTGTCTGAGGCTGCCTGTGACACTGACAGGTCTTTCTTGTAAGTGTGATGAGCCTAAGGCACCCACAGGTGAAGCTGTATCAGCACCCCTCCTCCTGATCCTGGGAGAGGAGGGGGCTTGGAGGGAGTGCTCTGGATGCCACAACTGAGCTGAGACTCTCCTCCCCCAGACCTGTCTAGTTGGCTGCTGACTTGGATAACAGAACCAGGAGTTTTGTAATCTACGCAGGCCCCTCCTTCCATTTAGTCAGTGGCTCAAGTGACAAGTGCAGTCCTCGTTTGGCTGCACTGAGCGTCAGAGCTGGCCTGTCCTGAATGCATGCTCTGGGGCAGTGAAGGACGGGCACAACTAGACTGGTGCTGCTCCTGCAGTCCTACAACTTGCCAATGACTCACGGAGGAGGAGAGGAGGGGAGAAACAGTTCCCCAAGGGCAGGGACTTCTCCTGTCTCTGTTTCCTAGGGATAGGGGCTGGGAAGGCACTGGGGGAAATGTTCAATAAGCTGAAATGTTTACTACATTCCCTGGCTCTGAATTCCTCCATGGATACCAAGGAAGGAAGTGTAGAAGGGCCTGCCTTTCCAGATTTGCCTACTTCCTGTTTGGCCAAACCGGAAGGCCTTAGCATTCAGGGTTTGAGATGCTTACCTTGTAGATAGGGCTCCTCCATCTCGGAGTCAGTGGTGGTGGTATGATCCTGCTGTGGAAGTTTCTCAGGCAAAAACCCCTGTGCATACTTCTTCTTGAGATTCCCCACCAGCAGGGACGAGCGTCCCACCTAGAGGACATGATGACATGGAGGCATGAGGGTTAGGTGGGAGATGCTTCCTTGCTATCCAGCCTCATCAAAATTACATGTATAAAGCATCCAGGCACAGATGCCAGCCCCTATATCATCATCCAAGCATGCCCTGCTCAAGGCTTATTTTGCTGGTTAGCTCATGAGGCAAGATGCCAATGGACACCGAAGTACAGGGATGGCTTTAATCCAGGACCAATGGGAGGCTCAGGAGGTTAGGAAAATATCTACCCTTCCAAGTGTCTAAGGGGCAGAAATGGAGGCAGAGCTCAGGTTTCCCACACTGCCAGAACAGGTTCCAGGACCCAGGGCTCATACATCGCCAGACAGGAATACAGCCGAGGCTGTGTGTATGAGTGTATGGATGAGACAGAGAGACTCAGTAACCATTTTTTAAATTTCTTACTGTTCTCTGCTCTACCAGCCAGAGGTACATGCAGCCATGGAAGACAGTAGAAAATGGACTCTCGGCTACAGAGCAAAAATGTCCTCTGTGGTTGCAAGGATCACAGATTGGCTAATTCTTTCTTCTGGTCCCCCCATAGTTGCCTCTGTTCAGGTAGCCTGGTGGTCAGATTGCTAGAGCAATGCTGGGGGTGTTACTGAATCTGCATCTACCCCGACACACCAGTTGGTTTCTGGTGTTTCTACAGGAGGCCAAGGGGAAGATACTATCTAATGAGGGAAGAGATGTGACAGGCTTAGAGCAACCTATAGCTCAGTGCTCCAGGTGGATTTCTTTGCCACAGGCCTTGAATGACCTCAGAGAAAGAGGACAGCATCTACCCATGCTTCTTTGGCATTTTAGACAGGTGTGTCACCCTTCTCAGTAAGTCAAGCTTCATCTCCTGCCAATTCAAATCACTTGTGGATACAAAGAATGAGTAAAAGGCAGATGGCATCCCATGAGGGTCATGTATCTCTAAGGTAATTTTTTCACGAGAGGGGATATGTACACCTGTCTCCAGGCTCCTCCCTCCCACTGTCAGAGCAGTACCATCGGTCCTCACCCGTCCACAATGAGCAGAACCAGCTCTGGCCGCTTTGTTCTAATAAGCCATTTTCTTTATCCCTTTATACTTCCTTTTGGTCTTATGCTTTAATTGGAGACACTTGACGGTGCCCCTTCTGAAGTGCCCCTCACTCGCATTCACTTCCCTTGACAGGCTGTCCCCAGGTCACAACCCCGTTCTCTCCATTTCAGATATATCTCAAGAATTCTCTTCTGTAGAGGTTCCTTTTGTTCCCTAAGTGGCCAAAGTTTTGCCACTCAGAGGTTTTGGCATTCAAAACTGAATGGGGTCTCATTTCCCAAAGTCCACCAAACATGCCAAAGTGAATTCCCTTCTAACCAAGGGGGGTCACACATCACCAGGCGGGACAAAGCTGAGTGTGTGTGTGGAAACTTCTAAACAAGAGGTCTTGCCAATTATTCCTAATCAGAGACCCCTTGTGGACCTTAGGAAGATGCTCAATCCTAGAAAGAAAATGGCTCTGACATTCCTTTGGGGGAAAATTATCAGGGAAAGAACAACTTTTTCACATTTTTGGAAATTTTACATGGAAACGTAAAATATTCTAATACACATCCAAATCATACTTAAAAAAAAAACACAAAAAACAAAAAAGAAAGAAAAGAAAAAAGAGGGGAAAAGAAGTAGTCCGTACCGGGAAAGGCTCCGCCCCCTCCTGGATCACAAACCCTTCGATAACATGCGTCAGGATTTGGGGTTTCACAATGGCCTGTGGTGGTTTATTCTCACCATTCTGGGGGGCAGTGCCGGTGATGCTGGAGGCAGAATTTCCGTTCCCTGAGGTCATGCCGGGGCTGCTGAGGTCGGTCAGTGCATGAACAATGCCCTGCCCTGTCTCTGCACAGGGGAAAGGAGGGAAACACAAGCAGGGGAGGTCAGAGCCTGGTCCAGGCCAGGACAGCAGGGACTCAACGTAGGCCTGGCGTTTTCCGTGGAGCCAAACGACAACGCAAATCGAGCAGTCCCCTCCCTCAACCATCTATTTAATGATGGTGTCAAGGGACACAGTACCAGGTGTGACTATAATTAGTTGTGCAACAATGCAACTAATCAGCTAGCAATTTCCCAATGGTGTTAAGAAGAGTTCAACCAGGTTAAACAGACAAGATTCCTGCCTTTGAGGTGTTAAGAACTTGGTCAATATTGATACAGAGAAGTAAAGTAACATTCAGTTCAAAGGAGAAAATGTATTCAAGCTATCTGAAACCAGAATGAAAAGCTGAACTAGGTAGAGGGCTAAGGGTAGGGGTATAATGGGGTTTGAGGGAGAGAGGTTAAGTGACCCTTCTATGAGGTTCCTTGGAAAGGATTAGATTTCAAGTGTCCTGTGAAATGTCAAAGTACTGAATGCCAGAAATCAATGCAAAGGGAATCTGGGGGCTGAGCCCCAAGTAAACACGGTAACACAGATCGGACTATTCAGGGACTGTTATTTAGGGTCACTGTGTTCTAGTTCTCCACCAAAGAGGCTGTGAGGCAGAGCCGAGGTTTTCCATGCCGTTTCTGCTGGTCCTGTGCTCTCAATCCAGCCTCTTGCCCTGTTCGCAGCTCCATATCTGAGCTAGTACTTAGCCAACCGACTCCTTCCCTCCATCCCTCTGTGGACAACCTTCCCGAGTTCTCCTTCTCCATGGACCCACTGGCCTTCCTCTGAAAAACCTAAGAGTGCTCCAGAAAGTATGACGAGATGTCTACAGAAACACACCGCAATGGGCCTCCTCTTCTCCACTTCCAACAGCACCTCTCAGGAGTTGTCCCCCGGGAGTTGTTTTAGAGATGCAAGACTTCGTCACCTCACTTCTGAAACTACCCCCTTCTCAGGACCATTCTCTACCACCACCAGCTGCCCAGTGAACTGAAGCTGCCTTTAACCTGGATCTTCCTAAAAAAAGGGGAAGGAGGGCATTTCTTTATTGCAACAGCCTATTAAGTATAACCCAGTGTGTGTTTGTGTGTTATATACTTTAAAAACAATTTCAGTAAATTTATAAGCTAAGTAATTTCTGCACAAAACTTATTTCATGTTAAAGACCCAAAATCCCATCATGGAACAGGAATTCATAGGGTCTAATTATGTAGCATGGAGAAATCAAAACAAAGTCATTTTAGAAAGGGTTTATAACTGGTTCATTTTCTTACCAGTAGCCCTAATGTTCAATAAGCCAGGATAAATCGTTTTGGTGAGAAAGAGTTGGCGGCTATGCCACACGCCTCAGTACTCAGACAGACTCCATCATCCAACTACAAGAACTTCAGAGCTGAGCAGAGTCATCCAAGAGATGTACTTGATGAGATTTTTAAAAAATGATTCTTGGTCGTGACAATCACACTAGCTTAAGTATTTATAGCTTTGGCTTTTTTTAAAAGACATAAAATTTCTCAGTTGTAAAGGTGTTTGGGAACTGAAAAAAATCTTTCCTTAGCAAACCATAAATAACTAGGTAGACTGAGTTAATTATATAATCAATCAAGTTACCTTTCTCTCCTTTTAAATTTTAAATATTTAAGTCTGCGCTGACATAATTACATTTTCTCTGCTTTAAAAATGTTTAAAACATTTAAATTAAGTACATATTTTATAAGGAATGATGAATAAGTGATAAATAGAAAGCTTACTATTTAAGTTAAATTTTTATTTTTAAATGATGGCTGCTATTTCTTTCTCATTAGAGCCTAGTAAAATATTCCCTGATTATTCTAATGAACTACAAATTATAGAATCAAGATTAGGAAGTCTGGCTTCACCTCTTACTAATGCTTGGACCTGCTCTGTAACACCCCCACCCTATGGTTTTCTGGCATCCGTTTAAATACCTTTTGTGACCAAGGAACTCACTACCTCTGAAGTAGTTTGTTTCCACCTTGGGCAATTTGGTGAAAAAGTTTTTCCTTATAATGAGCCAAAAATCTATCTTCTGTTCATTTCTGCCCATTTATCCTAAGACCACAAAGAACAAGGCTAATCATATTTGTTCATAGGGCAAAAACATAGGCTTAGGCCTATCTTAGAGACTGGTCTCTATCTCTAAAGTGAATTAGTGGCAAATTCTCATTATTTCCTGAGCCTCCGTTTCACTGGCTGTAATATAAGGACAATAACAATACTTACCTTACAGTGTTGCTGTGAGGACTAAATGAGATAATGAATGAATAGCAATGCAGCGCTAGCACACGAAGAAATGCTCAGGGTGTCATGAAGAATGTCACTCAGGGTCCCAGAATATTTCTCTCCTCCAGGCCAAACTCCCTCTGCTCTTTCAACTGTTTCATATTTAAAAAAGGATTCAAGTTCATCATCATCCTAGGTCTTCTTTGCCTGCATCTTTTAAAGTCTACCCAGCCAGTGCTAACATAATCAAGTGTATTGGTCTAGGAGATCAGGGTGGTAAGGTTTTTGTTTTGTTGAGAGCACAGGTGAAGGGAAATGAGTGACTTCCTTGTTTTCATTTATAATTCCTTTATGGAATTAATCCCTTCTTCCCTGACTTCTGGAATCACTCCCAATTCCTGTTCTTTTCACTGCTACTCATCACCCGACAGCCTCTGATACCTTGTCTCCTTTCATGGGATCTCTCTGTCCCTGCTCGATGGCTCTCCTCCCCCCTTCATCCCTTCCCTCCCATCTCAGATCTATTAATGTACACTGTAAGGCAGGATAACTCTTTCGAGGTCAGATTCTTTCCTCGTGCCAAATACAGTAGTGAACAGATACAGTCACCGGCTCAGGGGTAAGAGAGCCACCAAAGGATAGACTCTTTCACCATAACATTAGACACAATCGCTCCCATTATAACTGGGGTGGGTTACAGGACAGACAGAATCCAAGGGATAGAAGAGAGTGTTTTATGAAGATATGTACAAAGGTTTACAGACATTGTGCTTTGCATTCGTCTTGTAGCAAATACCTTCTCATCTGCTTTAGTAACAAAGGAGTTTGGGCTATTTCTGGAATGACCAAACACAGCCTCACCCCTGCCAGGCTCAACACACTGCGATTAATTTAATCTGCTTCCCCGCTCTCCCAGACTGCTCTGCAGCCTGCTTGGGGGAAAGCAGCTTAATAGGGAAGCTTGCAGAAACCTGCCCTGCTGGCCCTGAGGCCAGATAAAAGACTGACACGAAGCAAGCAATACTCTACCTTTTGGAAGTCTTTTCTCAGTTCTCTCGATCTAGGCTGTAAAGGATGCCTGGGATTCCCAGGGGCCTCAAATGCCTTTATACAGAGTTAGGCACCTGAAATCCGAAAGGTGAAGGCCAGGGCACCATGAGTTCGGGAGGCTGTGGGAGGGCAGTAGAGCCAAGCTACAGTGGTGCCGGGAAGGTGGAATCTAGCCTTTCACTGAAGCTGACCACAAAAGGCCAAGTATTCAGATCAGAATGAACGGAACAGTATGCTCTGGGGGAATCGTTACATAATGTCTCAACCTCTAGGCTGCTTCTCAATTCTGGTCTCACTCATAAGCTCTGGCAGAAACAGCCCTTATAGGGGCAGGCTAAAATAGAAAGGACCACAATGGCCCTGTTTGTGGAATGACATGCTTCAGGGTTGGTCCCCTTCACCAGGCAGGTTTCTTTAGGCAGGGGGCTATGTCTTGGTCACCTGTATCTTCAGGGACTAACCCAATGTCCCATATATGATAGATTCTTTTTTTTTTTTTTTGCTCAGGTAGAGTGGGAGGGAGAGAGAGGAACAGAGAGAGAGAGAGAAACATCGATGTGAAAGGAACACATCGAGTGGCTGCCACCCGCACAACCGACCAGGGCTGGGGACAAACTGCAACCGAGGTACGCGCCCTTAGCGGGAACCGAACCCGGGTCTCTCAGGACCGCAGGCCGACGCTCTAACCGCTGAACCAAACCGGCCAGGGCATGATAGATTCTTAATGTCTGCTAAGCTGAAATGTATGAACCCATGGTCTCAGTCTGCACTGTTGCCGTAAACAGTACAGGTCTCCCTAGTCTCAAGACAAGCAACTTGCCAGCAGCTGAGAATTGTAAATTACTTTCTGAGGCTACAATGATTTGAAAACAGCAGGCTGGCGCCTGTCTATAAGAGTGGCATTTCTGGGTGCCTGTCCATAAGGAGGCATAAGAGATGTTCCTTGGCCATCTTTCTGTTAAGGCAGGGAAACATTTACTCCAGCTCCAGGCACTTGGAAAGGCATGGTGACCTCTAGGGGCAGAGGCAGGGAGGTGCTTATAAAAATAGCCTGGTCTCAGTACCCACAGGTAGGTGTCCAGAGAGGCTGAGCTGCCCTGCCCTCAGAAGACAGAGGTCATGTGAGCCCCAGCTATGTAAAGCCTGGACCGCTTAAGAACCAGTTCTGATGCTCTTTACATGCACAGATAAGCCAAAAACCATCAGTTATTCTGGAACAGGTTTAGTACTACTATTTACTGTGGGTATTTCAGATGGCCTGGCCACTCATTCTATTTGCCTTGAAGACCTGACTTCAGAGGAGAGGGGGCGGGTGGTGGAGCACAGCTTCTCCTTCCACCCCCTCGGCTTGGCCAACACTGTTTCCTACTTTCTCTAGACACGAAGAGAGGGAGTGTTTTAATCTACAAGACTTCTAACAACCCTTGCTGGGCTGTAGCAGGAGTAAGCCAGAGCTAATGGAGTTAAAGAATTCAAGAAAGCAGAACATGTGAAAACATGGGTCATTTGCCTGCAGCAAATTCTTCTGGGTCAATGAGAAAACAAGGCTCCCTGTACCACACAGAACGTCCTCTCCAGGCCCCTTCCTGGCTCTGAAGTCCTGCTCACTGTGCCTTGGCTTGGCGGGCCAGCTACGAGGCCTGGATGGGCGACAGCAGGATTCCTAAGAACTGCTTGC